GAGTCGACAGCTGCAGGGAGAAGGGGGCAACACCACAGTCAAGTCCTGCAGCACTGGGTTCACTCTTCGAGATATAGCTTTGCTTACATCCTGTTTTTCTTTCCATCATATTATATTTCTCATGAATTAAACAGATGTTTTCAGTCCATTTCTGTCAGCTTGCAACATTTTAAAAGAGAGTACACAAACATCACCACCTGTGAATTTCCTCTTATTCTTCCGCTAAGCCTTTATCTCTGTCAAATTCAGCTAGAAATTGACACAGTCGCTCAATATCAAACAATCTTCTGTTTAGTGTTAACAATAGATCCATCTCACTCTGACTCATCCATTCAGAGCACAGATTAAGAAAGAGTTCCCCTCTCTTCCCTCGCCTTCACCAAATGACAGCGGTAAAGATCTGTGAATTAAAATGAAACCATGAATGATTGAGATGAATCTGATCAGTATTATATGAGACACATTTAGTACAGGGTTCCTCTTTTTCAACTAGCTAGAGACAATTGGCAAAAAAAAGAATGAATCGACTAAGATGCAAAAGTTTCAGAGAGGGAATTAAACCCTCAGTTTGGATAACAAATTTTTTTATATACGGTAAAAATATTTAGGTCTGTAGAAAGAGCAGATCAGAAATCTATGAATGCTGTAATAATTAAGGCACTTAATTCTTTCTATATTATATAAAAGCAGAAATTTCCCTTCATACTAATTATGTTAATAAAGGTGTTTTTTTTTTCTTTGTTTTTGACTGTTAAATCATCCAAAAATATATATTTTTTGGGGGGGGAAATAAAATTTGAACTGCCTTGGAGTTCTTATGTATTCATATTGAAGCCATTATTCTGCTTCTTCTATTCTAAATATAACCGCATCCATCATGGTTGTTAATCGGATCTATATTATAGAGCTTTAATTATCTTTTAGGTTGAACAACATTCTTGTTTTTTTAAGTGGGTTATCAAGTATAATTTCAATGCAGATTCAAAGAGGGTCCAAATTATACATCAAGAATCAGAGAAAGAATCTTCATGTTTACACACCCCCACTGGTTAAATATCTACTGGTACATTTTAGAAAACTACAATATATTTATACCCATTAGATGTAAACAAACTTACCTTATAACCCTGGTTACATAGTTTGAATAGGCTGTTTGATTTGGTCAAAGTCATTGAATGGGCTGTTTCTTTTGGGACAGATCCAGCTATAAGGCTTAGTTTATAGATTGGCATCAGTGTTTTGACGTGTATTTTGGATTATTGTCCTGTTGGAACATGCTGTTGTGTCCATGTTTCTATCAGCCTCAGAGGCTCTCTGACAGGTTGAGGACAAACCACATATTACAGGTGCTGGTCATAAAATTAGAATATCATGAAAAAGTAGATTGATTTCAGTAATTCCATTTAAAAAGTGAAACTTGTATATTATATTCATACATTACATACAAACTCATATATTTCAGATTTTTATTTTGTTTAATTTTGATGATTACAAATGACAACAAATGAAAATCTCAAATTCATCATATCAGAAAATTAGAATATTACTGAAGACCAATAAAAACAAAGGATTTATAGAAATGTTGGCCAACTGAAAAGTATGAACATGAAAAGTATGAGCATGTACAGCACTCAGTATTTAGTTGGGCCTCCTTTGGCCTGTATTACTGCAGCAATGCGGCGTGGCATGGAGTCGATCAGTCTGTGGCACTGCTCAGGTGTTATGATAGCCCAGGTTGCTCTAATAGTGGCTTTTAGCTCTTCTGAATTGTTGGGTCTGGTGTATTGCATCTTCTTCTTCACAATACCCCATAGATTTTCTATGGGGTAAAGGTCAGGAGAGTTTGCTGGCCAATTAAGAACAGGGATACCATGGTCCTTCAACCAGGTACTGGTAGCTTTGGCACTGTGTGCAGGTGCCAAGTCCTGTTGGAAAATGAAATCTGCATCTCCAAAAAGTTGGTCAGATGCAGGAAGCATGAAGTGCTCTAAAACTTCCTGGTATGTGGCTGCGTTGACCCTGGACCTCAGAAAACACAATGGACCAACACCAGCAGATGACATGGCACCCCAAACCACCACTGACTGTGGAAACTTTACACTGGACTTCAAGCAACGTGGATGAAGTGCCTCTCTTCTTTTCCTCCAGACTCTGGGACCTTGATTTCCAAAGGAAATGCAAAATTTACTTTCATCAGAGAACATGACTTTGGACCACTCACCAGCAGTCCAGTCCTGTTTCTCTTTAGCCCAGGCAAGACGCTTCTGACGCTGTCTGTGGTTCAAGAGTGGCTTGACACAAGGAATGCGACAGCAGAAACCCATGTCTTTCATACGTCTGTGTGTGGTGGTTCTTGAAGCACTCACTCCAGCTGCAGTCCACTCTTTGTGAATCTCCCCCACATTTTTGAAGGGGTTTTGTTTCACAATCCTCTCCAGGGTGCGGTTATCTCTCTTGCTTGTACACTTTTTTCGACCACATCTTTTCCTTCCCTTCGCCTCTCTATTAATGTGCTTGGACACTGAGCTCTGTGAACAGCCAGCCTCTTTAGCGATGACCTTTTGTGTCTTGCCCTCCTTGTGCAAGGTGTCGATGGTCGTCTTTTGGACAACTGTCAAGTCAGCAGTCTTCCCCATGATTGTGTAGCCTATAGAACTAGACTGAAAGACCATTTAAAGGCTTTTGCAGGTGGTTTGAGTTAATTAGCTGATTAGAGTGTGGCACCAGGGGCCATCAATTTTGAACCTTTTCACAATATTCTAATTTTCTGATATGATGAATTTGAGATTTTCATTTGTTGTCATTTGTAATCATCAAAATTAAACAAAATAAACATCTGAAATATATGAGTTTGTATGTAATGTATGAATATAATATACAAGTTTCACTTTTTAAATGGAATTACTGAAATCAATCTACTTTTTCATGATATTCTAATTTTATGACCAGCACCTGTAGATCAGGGGTCTGCAACCTGTGGCTCCTTGGACACTCTACAATGGCTAAAACATGATAAAGAGCCGACTAATGGTTCTGGATATAGTAAACGTAACAAATACCATTCTTATAAGCTTTAGTAGTTTTTTTTAAAAGAACATTTAAATGTATTTTTTTTCTGCAGAATGACACTAAAGAATCTGGGATATGTTTTTAGATTGATTGTCATTAGCTTGAAACACTATTTGTTTATATTTTTTTTACAAAAAATAATATCCTATAGAATAAAATCTAAAAACTTTGCTTCCTCTTTATGAAACTTGTATGCTTTGTCCCTAATTTAAAAAATCAAAAGAGAAAACAAACTTTTATTTGAAATGGCAGCAGATTTCCTATTGCAGATGTTTAACTATAATGATACGCTGTGTTTTATTTGAAGGACACGTAACATGTGCAGCACTGAACCTTTTATTTAGCCGGGCTCAGGGTAAGCTGGCTCTTTGGATAAGAACCGTTTCAGACCCCTGAATTAGATGAAAGTATAATTTGGCTAAAATGCATAGAAACAAAAAAAATGGAAGCTGTTGGAGCACTAGCGTTAATGTCCACAATGAAAGTGATTTTAAATGACCCTGCAACGCGACTGTGACAACCAAGAGAATACTGCCTGCTTTTTTTAACTAATCACACAATCTAAATTTCAAGAAGCACATATGGATAAAAGCATTTAGTAAGGTCTAAAAGGTGATAATTTTGACTGCAGTCCGGATTCAACCTAAGAACACCGTACCATGTGTCAAGTAAAGTGGTGGTGGATCATGCTGCGGGATTTCTTTGCATAAATTGGATGGAACAATGAACGAGCAGGACTACCACCGGTTCTTCATCATCAGCTAAAACATTTCAAGCCTGGTTTTTTGATAAAACAACATTAAAGCTCAGGGCCTTCTCAAAAGCAAAGCCTCAATCATAATAATATGAAATATGAAAACAAGTCAGGTGAGAAGTTCTATGGTCAGAGGTTATATGCACTGAGATATTTGCTCACAATGGCCATAGTTATGTTTAGAAGTCTAGGTGAGGCTTTCAAACCTATAACGCCGTGCCATGTGTGAAGAATGGTGATGGCAGTATAATGCTGTGGGCTTGTTTTCCTGACAACGGTGTGTCACGAAGTGAATGTAGCAATAATGCCTGAGGATCACAGTGCTTTTCAATGTTACCATGGACAGGTACCAAAACTGCTTCTGTTGAGCTTCTGGGGCTGACCTTCCAGAGAATCTGATGGCAAAAATGTTTTTATTGATCAGAAAAGCCAAATCTGTGCCAGATAACCATCCAACTTTAATCCACTTAACCAACAAAAGCGAAAAAAGTGTTTATTACCAGCATCAGTTAATCTCTCTGAACAGAAACAAGCATGTGTTCTATGAATCTATGTGTCTCACAAATGCATGAGATGGGAGAAATGTATAACAATTATAGTATTCACTCAGCTACATATATATATATATATATATATATATATATATATATATATATATATATATATATATATATATATATATTTTTTTTTTTTTTTATCATAGGCTATGGTAATGTGTGTGACATGTTTTATTTTCAATTTAATAAATATTGTCAAATTTATTTTGTTAAAAACCATAAATTAATTTGACATGCAAGCTTTTTGTAAGGCGCACACTTTTGACCACAAATGTTCCTCATATTGGTATGCAACAACCTTGTAATAATAAAGCCAGCAGCGGGTTTGTTACCAAATTTGCAAACGGTTCTTTCGTTTATCAAATTGAATTGACAATGTTTGAGCCATGGATACATTTTAACTGCATGTATGCATGTGTTAAATCCAGGAGGTGGATAAGACTCACTGTACAGTGGGTCTGTGCATTATGTAGCGCCAGATCTCTATGGGCCCGTTTTAACACTTCACACCCTCGCTCTTACAACCAGGGGGGCTGGCCCCTGCTGATTCAGAGGTTAGGAATTTGCATCTGATTGCTGTTTGTCAACCAATGATGTGACTGTGCAGGCTGGGAGAATGTCTCCACGCCTCTCTCCCTCAGTCTGAGGCAGACTCCGAAACTCTGAAAACACGATTCAGAGCCGAATGCGTGGATTTCATGCAGCCGGTCACATGAAACCTCTTGCTTTTTAGCCGACATAAACACACAAGAAACATATCCTATTTCACACCAGTTTTGGTGCCTTGTTATTTTATTTATTTTCTTTTTTTTTTTTTTGACTACCCACTTCCTTTGATCTATAGAGGAGGATTAAGATCAACGCAGACGGGGAAAACAGGAATGTTTCTTCCGCCTCCAAACAGTGAGAAAACACAACGGAAGCCGATGTGGTAAGTTTGCACTTATTCCTTCTGCTTTATATATTGTTCTCCAGACAGTGTCTTGCAGTTCTGTGCTTCACATTTTTAAAAATTTCTCTCATATATGACATATTTACGTGTTTCAGTTATCAATAACGAGACTCAGTTATTTTTTCCCCTTTATAAAATCGATACATTATCAAATGACTGATCAATAACCTATAGCGAATGCGGCGGATGGATTTGCTTGCTGTGAGTCATCGAACGTATGTATACGTTAACCTACCTACGCTGAGTGGACAGGCACTATTTCGTATGCTATTTTTTGTCAGAAAAGTATATAATTTATAAATATTATACACGAGGTTTTATTTTTTTTTATTGATAGCATTAGATTGAAATTATAGGCAAAAAAGTAATTAAAATTATTCAGGCTGTTGTTTTTTTTAGTGAACAAGGTCCTGTTGTTATCGTCCGAATACTTATGACTGTAGAAAACGTCCGAATTTTGATTCTGTTGCTTGCTTATCAATTTTAGTTAACCTCGCATGTGATTATTTATATTATCAACATATGTTTTATAGTTTTACAACATAGTATCAAATGATAAAAATAGTTATTTCTGCTGACCAGCATTACACAGCAAATCTGGTCACTAAAGCTATTCATTTAGAATAAATTACTGAACGATAATGAACGATAAATATCTGAGCAACATTAAACGTCCGCTCCAGGACTCCATTCCATAAGTACATTCATCTGCCCTTTTACTGCCATAAAGAACCAGTGTGTGACTGCACCCTCCTTCGTGCTTTTACATAGAGTCCGGCCTACTCTAAATGTCGCACTGAGGGTCACACCTGAGGTAGACTTGGATTTCTGTTCTTCTGGTTTGATTAAAAAAACACATTAATGTGAAAGAGCGTTAAAATTATTAAGCAACGATTATGTGTGTTCGTTGGGGGGGGGGGGGGGGCTCCATACTAGGCAGGGCCCCAATTTCCTGAGGGCCCCATAAAACTCTGTTTGCATGTATGGTTAAATCAACTATTCCTTATTTGTGCACATTAGTTATGTCTTTAAAAAAAATCCTTTCGCTAAAATGTCATCAGAATTCTCATAATGTTCAGTGTTCATTTGCTACACATGTTCAGAAAGGTCCAAATAGAAAGCGGAAACCATTTGAAAAAGATGCAAAGAGCAGTGTTGCGAACTTAGTGCCTTTGTCGATATATTTAGCGACTTCTCAGACCCCTCTAGCACGTTTATTTTTTAAAAAAGCGGCTAGTGCCAAATCTAGCAACTTTTTTCTGCTACTGGAGACTTCGGCGACAACATATAAAAGCACCGAACTCTGCTCTCCAGAGCAAGTAGATTGGTAACCCGGCTTCCTGCTTTGCTCTATCTTCTCTGCTGTCATGATTCATGTAGCTATTATTTCATCCAAATGAAAAATGGAGAACAGATAAGCAGATCGTGGCCTTTCTACAGCGAAAAGAAGTGTGTTATTTACTTTTGCCGTCACCTTTTTGGAAACACTGGAAGGAGCAATCAGCTAAGTGAGCTTAATGCTTGGGAAAAAAATCTTTCATTCCTTTTGAGACAGCACGAAGTCAGCTGAGTACAAAACATAGAGAGGAAACAACAAGAAAAGAGAGGATGAAACATAGAACAAATAATGTATGTTTGTTCTATAAAACTTTCTGTATCTGTGTAATGAGTCTGTTTTATGTTATCTTCTCAATTCAGAGGGCCCCATGCCTGTCTTTGCCTAGGGCCCCACATTTCCTAAATGTGCCCCTGCCTTATTATATCATGCTTTATTTTTAAGAACTAAAAACATTTAGGTTAGGTTCATTGACTTATTTTGGTTGTTGCCACAAAATGTTCATAACATGTTTTTGATCAATTCAGCCTGTTCAGTGCTTAAGATAAATTTCAGTTAATTGACTTGCGGTAGTCTTTTAATTTACCCAAAAGGCCACATTTATTTACCATGGAATTGATTCTCTTCAATTCAAAAATGACAGAGAATTTTCTTTGAACACAAAATGCATTCAACTTAGCTTCAATCATATTTTAAATGCAATAAAAGATAAAAGATATCTCCTGAAACAAAAGTCTTGATCTTGTTAAGCTTCTAAATAATATAGAGATGATTGTCGGGGTATTTTTGCTTTACGTAATTGTTGTAAATTCTTTAAACAAAGGTCTGGATCAGTAGGAAGTGAGAAATAAACCATCAGTTTGTTTGTTTTTAATCGATCCCTGATGTTATGAATTATGGGGACGTTCAGGCTGACAAGTCGTTTTTGGAAAAGCCCTCAAACTGGCAGAAATTGTGACTCATGGAGTTGAAAGCATGCTTATTGTTGGTAGATATTAGCGAAAGAAGACTCAGTTAAATCAAATCTGTTGGTAGGCCGATTACAGCTGGACTACAATGGAAACCCCTGGTATAAATATCAGGGTATGTAACAATAGAAGCAATATTAGTTTAATAAAAATTTGGACGTGCAAAGGATATTTAGAAGTCAACATTTTGAGAGTCACGTTCCCGTTGTTAGGAGTTGCTTTATGTAAGGATGTATAACAGCTCTTTGATCTGGATATAAAAGCCTGAGCATATGGCTGCACCCACTGCCATGTATTTAAACAAAGCCTGGCCTGTCTGTAACAAAAATGACCTATGTTTGCCTTTAATGGATGAATGTTAAAGCCAGCTTATGTTTGAGATAATAAATGAGTCGATGGAGAGATAGGAACAAATTAAACAGTAGTTTAGATATAAAGTAAATGAACACAACTGCAAAATTTTAATCTCTTTAAAGCCTGGCTACACTTTTTTTCTTGTTCCTCATAGATTTGGTTGCAACTCTTCATCCTCTTGTTTGGCTGTTAGTTTTTAGCGACGTATTACGAATGCTGAGAAGTCAAAACATTTGGGAATGGAGGACTCTTCCCTCTGAGCCACAACAGCGTAGTAGTGGAAATATCCGCTGTGTATAATAGCTGAGTGTTTCCCTGTGTGGCGTCAGCCAACATTAAGTGGGTCAGCAGTCTTCTCATTCCAAAAACAGTTCAAGAGGTCCCTCTACTGTATTTTTTTCTCTCTCTCTCCATCTCTTTCTCTCTGGAGAATTGGCATAGTTACACAAAGCTGTCAAATCTCACAGCCACATCCAAAACTGTTTGGCATTTTGGCATTTGGTTTGTGGCCAGTGTTAAAGTTTCTCACCAAGAAGCACGGGGTGGGAGAGGGCAGCCACAGGAAGCAGGTTTTGTTTTAAAGGCATGTCTACTTCTTTGTCTTAATGACCTTCAACATTCAGAGAGGAATTACAGCTGCTCTCAGTGGAGATATTCTGGTTTTGTCTAAAGAATTACGTCAAGTGTCACCCCCCCTACCCCCATTGTCATAAAAATCTCAAATAACAGACCTTTTTGGGACTATTTGATTTCGCTTTATTGACTGTGTCATTGTGACTTCACTAGAATAAAGTTATAAAAGCTCCTTTAACGGAAGTGTTGTCAGAGACTGAAGGTAAATGTGGAAGTGTAAAACCAGGAACGGGATGAAGAAAGCGACCTTTTGGTTCGTATGTTGCAACAGAAGTAGTTCTCTAGTCTGTGGCTTGTTGTTGGTATATAAAAGAAAGTGTCAGCTGCTGAATTGCAGAACGTGGCACCGTCTCAGGAGAGATTTCTTTTGCCCTCATCACACCCGCAACCCAGCGTGGGCCAATCACCTTAGGAAAGAAAAAAAAATGCCTTGCTAATCTCTTTGGTCCAATCTGGCATATGGTATCCTTCCTCTGACCGGTACTGCCCCTTCGCACCAGTGTTTCCAGTGGAGAGAAACACTGCTGCTGCTGCAAGCGGGTGGGGGTGGGGTATCCAGGGGCATTTCCGTTGTGATTGGCCCTGTGTGGATTAGAAACGTATGGGAGGTGATCAAGTTCAACTATTAAAAGGCCTCCTTGTTACGAAACCTAAAAAAACACTTGTATGCTGCTCTTTATTTGGAGAACTTTTACCTAGGTGGTAGTTTTATGGAGATTTCTATTCCTTTCAAGTCAAAGTGTTGAAATAGTAGCAGACCTTGACCTGATGGATCAACCAGACCTTGTGACTGCACACATTGCAGGATTCTGGTAGTTAATAATAATCAGACGCTCTATTCAGGTCTGAGAGATCAGATGCCTTAATTACTGTTATAAGCTGCTTTAATGGATGGACAATTTCCCAGAGTCACTACTGGCTTTAGTCAAATGATTTAAAAGTGAAAATGTGAAAAAGCAAAAAGTCTTTACTTTCACCGTAACGAAAATATAGTTTTATTTATATATGATTCTTAATTAGTTTTTTTTAATTATAGAATAAACTGTCTAGAGTAACTTGAGGGAAAAAATAATATGGATATTTTGCAAATAGAGGTTATTTTTGTGTTGTTTTTTAAAAAATTGTAAAAAGTTAGTGGGTACCTTTGGTCCCACTTATCCAAATAATTATCTTCCCTAGAAAACGAAAGCACAGGCCAATTTACATCAGCAGAAAAAGGCTCATGGTTACCAGTTTCTTAAGGGAAGGTTTCAAAAAGTTATTATTATAAAGAAAATCCTTCTTTATCACATGGAAAAATACAAAAAAATGTAGGAATTTTCCTAAATTTGTTATGCAGGACCATTGACTACTTGATACAAGAACTGCAGTTAGCTAATTGAGGTTTATTAATGTTGCTCCATATGTATGTTCCTCTAAAGCCTTAAAGCTGCAGTCTGTAACATTGAGAAGAGAGCAGACTTCGACTGAAAATTTGAAGAAAAACAGGTTTCACTCCACTCCCCCACCCTCTCTGCTTCACTCATGCCCCACCTCCAAGCTCCACCCCTCTCAGCATCTGCGCGGCTACCTCATGCGACCAGAAGGGGGGGGGGGGGGGGGGGGGGGGGGGGGGGGCGGAATTCAGCGTGTGTGAGCTGTGATTGACACTCCATCAGACGCTCCTCTGGCTGTGATTGGTTGTTTTG